CTATGGAACCAACCTAGGTGCCCTTCAACAGATGAAGGGATAAAGAAAATGTGGTATATTTTACACAATGGAATATTACTCAACCATAAAGAAAAATAAAATTATGGCACTTGCCAGTAAATGGTCGGATCTGGAGACTATCATGGGAAGTGAAACAAGCCAAACTCAAAAACCCAAAGGCTTAATGTTCTCTCTGATATTTGGATTCTCACTTATAATAAGGAGGGGGGACAGAAGTTCACTGGATTAGACAAAGGGGAATTAAGGGAAGGGAGGGGGTGGGAATTGGAAAGACAGTAGAATGAATCAGACATAACTTATCTATGGTCTTATATGAATACACCACCAGTGAAACTCCACATCATGTACAAACACAAGAATGGGATTCTTATTAGAATAAGTTATACTCCATGAATGTATGATATGTCAAAATATACTCTACTGGGCTGGGGTTGTGGTTTAGTGGCAGAGCACTTGCTTCACACATATGAGGCACTTGGTTTGATCTTCAGCATCACATAAAAAATAATGAACAAAATAAAGGTATTGTGTTCAGCTACAACTAAAAATTTAAAAAATACACTCTACTGTCATGTATATCTAAAAAGAACAAATAATTTTTTTAAATGAACCACAGTATTATGTATAGCTATAAAGCACTAATAAAATCCTTAACATATTTCTATAAAAAGAATGTTATTAAGCAAAAACATAGTTACTATGATGTCGATTTTATTTAAAAATTCTTGGGGCTGGGGATGTGGCTGAAGCAGTAGCGCTCTTGCCTGGCATGCGTGCGGCCTGGGTTCGATGATCAGCACCACATACAAACAAAGATGCTGTGTCTGCTGAAAACTAAAAAATAAATATTAAAATTCTCTCTCTCTCTCTCCCTCTCTCAAAAAAATTCTTATTTATTCAAACAAATTCATAGGAATAGTCATTGAAATATAAATCCAGTTAGGATTCTAAGCATTTTAATTTCTATTTTATGCATTTTTTACATAACTCAAATGTTGCCCAGTCTTCTGGAGTCCCATAATGATCAAATCTCTTGAGCTTGAACTCTAGGTATCCAGACTATCTGTACACATTACACAGTCCTTCTTTTCCAGGGTAACTACTTTCTTATATACCTGTTCACAAACCAGCCCAACTTATAGTCAATTTTCCCAATCCCTGAGGTCAACTTCTGCAGTTATTTTCCTTTTCCAGTATCTCAGCCCAAATACAACCCTGAATATAAAGTTAGTGTGTGGTAAGTGACTTCAATTAAAGTATTGGTGATAAGGTAAGCATATTTCCATAGATGTCCAAATAGGAAAAAAAAAATTAAAACTGAATACATCTGACAGATAAACTTTCACTGGCTCTTTTGTGCCCAGATTTCACCTTGCCTACCACAGTTTTGTTGGGTTATGTCCTCAAGGCAAGGACTCATCCCTTCCATTTAACCCCTCTTTTCCTAATTTCTGAGCTATTTAGACTCTTTCTGCAGACTGTTGTCTGAAAAAAAAATCCAACTTCTTTTTTTTAATATGCAAAGCAATTTCATTCTCACCCTGGATCTCAGCCTCTGCTCTGGACCCATCTTGCCTCTCAGAAATTGTTACCGTTGGGGAAACTTTTCTGAACAAAAACATCTATCCTGGATGTGCACCTTTAGCTAAGCAAAAATACAGCAAAAGCAAAGACACGGATTTTCCTTTCTTTGGAAATTTGATAATGATATCTGGAAATGAAAAAAAAAATCAAATATTAGGTATGCTCCTTTCTAATTAGAGCAAAGTACAGAGGTAACTGCTTATCAAAAATACTTTCCAAATTTTCTACAATAAGCACACATTTCTTAATAAAATAAGATATAACAAATATTACTTTAAAAACAAGCAATGCTGATTGATGAATGTCTTCAAAGTACCTTACGTTTTCATTTCAGAAAATATCTCATTTTTCAGTTCTGCTCCAATCTGGCTTCTTGCTTTAAGTCCCCCTCCAAACTCAACCTTACCCTTTCCCCTTTCTCCTCTCCTGTTTGCATTTAACAGGAGTGGGATAAAAGCACATGAACTTCAAAAGGAGAGGAGAAAAATATTGTCTCTGAGTTAGAGGAAGAGTTCCACGAATTCAAACTCTGCTTGTCATAGATAAAAACTATACATATGCCTTTTCAATTGTAAGTACTTGTTTAGATGCAGCCAAGCTGGAGTCAGATTTTAGAATACTCCACTGTATTTTACATAACATCTTCAGAAAAGCGGATTATATAGATGGTAATTATTAGAGTTTAAATGCATAAAAATATCAATATTTTTAGATATATGTTTGTGGTTTTATATGTTATATTAATTCAAACTATTTTAGTAAAGTACAAATATATACATTTTTATATACATTTTGAACTTTTAGAAATAGAATTTGTCATGTCTTAGCATATAAAACTCACTACCTAGACTAGATCTTTAATAAAATAACATGTTAAGTTTAAAATCTTATTTTTTAGAAATTTGCTCTTACTATTTGTAAGTGAAGGAAACCTCTAATATTAGTAATATATATACTTCCATGAAACATAAGCTTACACTATTTATCATTTAGGGATTTAGTTCTTAAACTGGTTAACACTGCCACTTTGTGGCAAAGATTGATTACTGAAGTTTATTATTTATTAGCATATGCTTATCATAACAGTGGATTTTTGAATGCTGATGAATGCAGTCTTATTCTAAGTTTCCAAGATAGTATAAGTTGCACTAATAAGAAACTTTAAGCAATAATATATATTTTTAGACATGTTCCCTTAAATTGTGTTCAGTTTCACAATATTCAAACCCAATATTCTTTAAAGAGGGAAAAAACCCCAAATTCAAAAAACAAATATGTAAGTGGTCTTAAACTGATGTAAAATTTCAAGAGTCAAATGCAAAAGAAACTCCTTAATCAGTCTTAGATTGCTAAACTACATTTCTAATTATATTTTTTAAAAGCATCAACTGGAAATTTAACAAATAAAATTGCCTCTTCCTCTAATACAGCAAAAGCCAACATCATCCATCCCCATAATAAATTCTGCAAATTGTTTGATTTTGTAAAGCAAACAGCAAAATCACTTTGTCTCTTTCCTGGCATTTCAGTAAAAAACAAAACAAAAAAAAACTGTGTTTTCCTTATTTTTTCTGGATTTTAAGTTTTGATATCTTTGTCAAGCTACTTAATATCTCTGAATCTTAGTTTCTTTACATGCAAAATGGAGATAATAATATTGCCTACCTGTTAGATTGTTGGTAGGATTAAGTGAGTAAATACAAGTAAAGTGTTCCTTAGAATTTTGTCTGACACCACAGGAAGCACAATTAAATTTAGATCTCATTTTTTATTACAAATATGTGGAACAAAGTCACTAACATACCTACATCTAATTTGTATTAGGCTTGGAATAGTTCTGTGATATGATTTGGTTTACCTGTCATGTTAAGAAGATGGACTTTCTAGGTACAATTTATAGACAGCATGGGCCTAATGGTGATTGGGCTTTCTGGTTTTAATTTAAATCTTCCATCTATAGGATGGCATTGGATCCTACTCCCATTCTGACATTTACTATACTTGCAAAAATCCATAAATATTTTAAAGTTCTGGTTTGTTTAATAAAATGGAAGGAAATATGTATATATCACACAGTTACTGTCATGAGTAACTGAAAGAATGCATATATAAATAACTTAGCACAGTGTGAGACTTAGGATAGGCTCAACTGAGTCCCATGGTATGTATGAATAAAAAGTCAACTAAAACAGTATTAAGACTAGTTTCATAAAATACATTATTAAGAAATAAGTCAGCAGATAAAATGATGGAAGGAATACTGGGCCTGAGGAGGATGAGAGGTAAAATGACACTATATGTGATGTCAGAGATATGGGGAGGAGAATGAGTACAGTGTAAGAGGAAGGATGGTGTATCTGGCAAAAATCCTGGACAGGGAGTCAAATAGACTTGAATCTAAATTTATCCTGACTACTATCATGAGGCCTTCGGAAGTCTGCTAAGTCTCTTGAGACAGTTTCCTCAGAGTGGGGATTAATAGCATTGTTATAAGATTAAATTAGAATATGCAAGTGGTGCACACTGAGTCCAGGTCATAAAATAATAAATAGTAGCTGTAGCTATGTTATTTTGAAAGAAATATTTTTTTTTTTTGCATTCAGGTCTTGAGCATCTCATTGGGACAACTCCTTTAAGCATTCTAGTTTCTACTATATGTGAAAATCATAACAGAAATAGGATATTCTATAAGGACTTGGACACATAGGGAAAGTGAGGTGGGTGGGAACAAGTGTCTTTAAATTGGTTGTTCAGAATAGCAGACTTCTTGAAGAGATAGCTGGGAACATACTCTAAAAGTCCTCACCTCTGCCATCACCCTCTCAAAATTTTAGAGGAGAAAATAAAGTAGTACTCAAGTGGGATTCACCCTTCTTCCCACCCTGCCCCCACCATAAGTGGGTGGGGCCACTGTAGGTGTGTAGATATGGGCATTGTGATGTCATCATTATGACATCATTTTGATAAAGTAACTATATAGGTTGGTAAGGTGGTAACATTCCCTAGGTTCATTTTCTTCTTCCCCTTCCAGCTGGCTGGTAGGGAAATGCCAAATGCCAAGCTTAAACCCAGCCAAGCTTGTAGCTGTGATCACTGGTGAATACATCTCCAATAAATCTGAGGCATCAATAACCTTCCTTAGGTAACTCTCTCTAATTTCTAAGAGGCGTATCTTGAAGCATAAGGCAAGTGAAGAAAAACTAGAAGAAGCTCACAGCCTCTCACTGTAGCACTGTGCTTAAGAGATCCTGTTCCATCAGGATAATTATTGCCAGCTAGTCATCTGCCAAACAGTCAAACATCAACCAGCCTTTGGCCAACTCATCTTCAGCCAACCAGGCAACAATCAACTGTGCACGAATCAATCAGGTATGAAACAATCAAGCTTATCAAACATGAACCAAACAGGAATAAGCCAGCTAGGCACAAGCTTACTTAACATGAACCAATTAGTTGGGAACCAACCAAAAACAAGCCTACATGATGTGAACCAACCAGGCGGGAAAAAATCAAGTTTCAGCCAACCAGGCGTGAAGTTATCACACATGAATTTACTAAACACAAATCAACCAGACATGTGGCAACCAAGCATGAGCCCAACATGTATGAGGCAACCAGGCCCAAGACAACTAGGCATGAATCTACTGGATATAAACCAACCAAGCATGAAACAACCAGGAATGTGGCAACCAAGCACATGCCAACCATGTATTAGAGAACCAGGCCCAAGCCAACCAGGCATGAATCTATTTGACACAAACCAACCAGGCATGATGCAACGAAGCATGAGTCAACCAGGTATGAGAGAACCAGGCCCAAGCCAACCAGGTATGAATCTACTGGACACAAACCAATCAGGCATGAGACAACCAGCCATGTTACAATCAAGCATGAGTCAACCAGGTATGAGAGAACCAGTCCCAAGACAACTAGGCATATTGCAAAGAAACATAAGCCAACCAGGTGTGAGAGAACCAGGCCCAAGTCAACCAGGCATGAATCTACTGGACACAAACCAACCAGGCATGTTGCAATCAAGCATGAGCCAACAAGGTATGAGAGACCCAGCCCTAAGACCACTAAGCCTGTTGCAACGAAGCATAAGCCAACCAGGTGTGAGAGAACCAGACCCAAGCCAACCAGGCATGAATCTATTGGACATAAACCAATCAGGCATGAAACAACCAGCCATCTTTCATCCAAGCTTGAGTCAACCAGGTAGGAGGCAAACAGGCCCAAATCAACCAGGAATGAATCTACTGGACACAATCCAACCAGGCCTGAAACAAGCAGGCGTGTGGCAACCAGGCATGAACCAACCAGGTATGAATCTACTGGACAAAAATCAACCAGGCATGTGGCAACCAGGCATGAAGCAAGCAGACACCAGGCAACTATTCCAGGACCAACGAAGCACGTGGCAACCAGATATAAGCCAACAATTCCCAAGCCAACCAGTCATGAACCAAACAGGCACATGGCAACCATACAAAAGCCAACCAGGCACCAGCCAATCAGGAATAAGCCAACCAGATATGAGCCAACCAGGCATGAGCTTTTCAGGCATAAGCCAACCAGGCAGGAGCCAACAAATTTCCAGTCAACCAGGGCCAGTCCAATTAGTCAGGAATCAATCAGGCAGGATCCAGTCAGGTATGAGCAAATTCGAAAAGGCTAAATCACCCACAAGGAAATCAAGCATGAATTCTTTCCGAATAAGACCTGCAGAGGCTCGAGACTGCCCAGAAATTCTGCGGCTGATTAAAGTAAGCCTGTCTCTCCTAATTCCTTGGATCTTCATTGCATTAGTGTAGGGCTGCAAGAGAGCAAGGAAGGCATAGTCGGGGTTTGAGTCCTGGCATGGCTAATTATGATACATGTACAACATTCTGGAAGTCACTAAATCTCTCTAATCTTAATTTTTCCACATATAAAGTCAATATTATATAATAATTTTCTATCAAAAAGATTGTTGCAATGATTCAATAAGAATATAATTACATGTAAATTACGGTGTCATATAGTAAGGGGCTCAGAGTCATTGTTAATTTAGAGACTGAATATGTTGCCTCTCCTGGGGGAAATTTTAACATTAAATTTCAGAGAAGAGAAAATGCATAAAGAAATAAATGACAGGATTTCAGATATTAATGACTAAGCTTTTGGTGTAGGTAATTTTGTTTCTTCTAAGATTATACCTGATTGTAGAATTTGATGATTGAGTTCCTAAAAAAACAATATTCTCACCCAACAGATTTTCCATACAATTTGAGACAGTTGATACCAGAAGTCCATCAACACACAACTCCCAGAATCAAGGAGTTGATTTGAAAATTTCTTATGTAAACGTTTATTTAAATGGCTTTCCTTTAAATTATTCCAGTGTAGTAAAGGGAGCAATCTAATAGCCATAGTTTTGTGCTGAAGTTCTGCAGCACTGAAGGCAATAGTTTATGTGATGAACAACCAAAACAATTCTATATAAAGATATATAAAAAGCAGTAGCCACGTTTATATTCCCTCTGATTAGAGAGTAATGTTTATATTTCTTTTCACTTATTATTCACAAAATTGTACAAATTAATGGGTTTGACTGTGGCATTTTCATGCATGCATATTTTGCTTTGATTGTATCCACCCCTTCTATTACACACTACTCTTTCTTGTGCTTCCTTTTCTCCCCTCATTCCTTGTCCTCTTTCCTTTCCCTACTACCTAACTACTTTCAGGTCCTTTTTTGTAGTTTCTACACATGAGAAGTTGAGAAGAAATGTGACACTTGTCTTTTTGTGTCTGGCCTATTTTGCTTAACATAATGAGTCTCTAATTCCATCAATTTATCTACAAATATAATTCCATTTTTTATAGATGACTTTTGTGTGTCTACCATATTTCCTAATGACCAAAATAAATATCCACAGTTTTGTAGTGAAATCCATTTGTTGAAGTGATGTTAGGCCCTGTCATAGGTTAGTAAGAACTTATTTATGTAATTTTCCAAGGTTTTCATTATATATTTTAATCCTCATAAGTTTTGACATCATTTCTCTTAAATGGCATTAGTCTTCATGGAATCAAAATACTATGCCCAACAGGTTAGTTATTCCAGGTAGGATCCACATTTTTCCACATAGTAGAAAATAGTTTGTGGCTACTGAATCTGACATCTGTTTGGCAATTAATAAATTTATTATTGAATGACAGTGAAGCTCTCTACTTGGACAAAATGCATTTCTTAGTTTCCCAACAATTTTTCATTGCCATTGCTGGATGAAAACACACCGCTAGACTCCCCACTGAAATGAACCTGTATCTGTGAAGTTCCTTACTATATTTATATTTTAATTTGCCTCATATTCTGAAAATACACCAGAAGTTTATTGGGAGTTATTTAATGTGTAGTTCACTGTAGAAAAATAGAAAAACTAAATATTTTTTATGCATCACAGAAATATGTATAGTAAATACTTTTGAGCTTTATGTTCTTTATATATGTTTTTTTTTCCCTTAACTCCTGCTCATTGTTAAATATGCAAAACATTCTCTTCTTGCAAAGGAGTTTAGAGTTTGCCATCATAGTAATTTCTTTGCTGAATGTATTGTAGGTTTTATTTATTGTACTGCCACAAAAATTCCTCAAAATATCTTCTGTATGCAACCATTTTAATCTTAACCACATCACAACATTATCTAGGGATCTAGTCATGTCATCAACAGACATAACTTCTTGCTTACCAGACTTTCCATCTAGAATCTTTTATTTTAGTGGTTTTCAAAGTGTGGTTTTGGTCCATTGGTGATACATAGATGACTTCTGAGTAGTATTAATATTTCATTTTGTTTATAATATAAATATTGAAGATCATGTACTAAGTGCTTTAAAAGATATAGAGATTATTGAATTACTGTCTCTGCCCTAAAGGAATTTAAAGGGTAATATGGGAGGGATGGATGCAAATAATCATTGAACTCTCTGCCAAGTCCATTCTCCAGATAGAAGCCAAAATGTTCAAAACCCAATTTGGCTTCTGCTTCTATTGAGTACAAAAATTCAAACTTCTTACTAAGGCTCTACATAATCTGGCCTCTTGTTTCAGTCAGCTTTTTTCACAGCTGTGACCATAAGACCTGACAAGAACAATTTTAGAGGAGGAAAAGTTTATTTAGAACTCATGGTTTCATAGGTCTAAGTCCATAAATGGCCAACTCTATTACTGTAGGCCACAGGTGTGCAAAAACATCTGGCTGAAGGAAGGATTACACCGAGGAAAGCCATCTCAGGATAACACACCAGGAAGCAAAGAGAGAAGGAGAATGTTCTCCTGGGAAAAATATATACCTAAAAGTCATGCCCTCAGAGACCCACCTCCGTCAGCCACACACCCTACCTGCATATAGTTACCCAGTAAATCCATTCTTTTTTTTTTTTTTTTTTTTTTGTGGTACTGGGGATTGAACCTAGGTTCTTGTACATTCAAGGCAAGCACTCTACAAACTGAGCTGCACCCCCAGCTCTCCAGTTAATCCAGTCAAGTGGACTAATGCACTGATTAGGTTAAGGTTGTCATAGCTCAATCATTTCACCTCTGAACTTTTTTGCATTGTTTCACATATGAACTTTTCGAGAATACCTAATATCTAAGCCATAACACCTTTGCTATCCTACTTAAGTATGTAAGTATATAAACATTCTACTTACATATTTTAAAGCCCTTTTCCATTATAAATTCCACGCAATTCAGTCAACATCCTCAAGTTTACACATGAAAAGAAACCCCAAAGTGAAGAGTAATGAGGGTATATGATCCCTACCAGATATTATAAAGCTGTAAGTAATTAAAATACTATGATCATTGGTGCATAGTTGGATCAGTGGAACCTAATAGAGAAGTACTCTTTATTATATATGATAATATGGTATATGATAAAAGGGAGATTTCAAGTAAGTGAATAAAAGATGGTTATTCAATGAATGGCATTAGGACAAGTGGGGGAAAAAGATAAAGGTGATATTCTACCTCATTTATTCAGCCTAAAAATATCCACATGGTAGATTTTAGTTTCTTGAGCTATAGTATTCCTTTGTGTTTTTCCAAAAGGAAGTCAGCATACTCTATAGAAACATGCATAACCATGTTAATATAGCATAATTCACAATAGTCAAGTTATGGAAACAGACTTGGTGTCCATCAACAGAAAAATGAATAAAAAATGTGAGATACACACAAACTCACACACACACACACACACACGGAGTGTGTGTGGGAAAAACAAAAGAAAATAAAGGGACATCATGAAAGTGGAAGGAACACCTTTAGCATAGAGAAAGAGGATCAGGCGGAGAGAGGAAGGAAGGGGAATTACTATGAAGTGAAATTTACTAAATAATGTTGTATACATGTATCAATATACCTGAATGAAACCCATCATTCTATATAATGAATAATAAATAATAATAATGATATAATTAATAAATAATAATAATAATAATAAAGAAAACAAGAGTATCTATTTTTATAACTTCCCAAGCATGAGATACAAATCATGAAGAAAAGAATTTGAATATGCAAAAATGATAATAGCAAATAGCCACATTAAAACATCTAAAGTTGCTGGGCATGTAGCACATGGCTATGATCCCAGGAGGCTGAGGCAGGAGAATTGTAAGTTTTTGGCTACCCTCAGCAAATTAACAAGGCATTAAGGAAATCAATGAGACCCTGTTCAAGATAAAAAATAAATATAAAGGACTAAGGATGTGGCTTAGTGGTTAAGCACCCCTAGATTCAGTCCATCGTACCAAAAAAAAAAAAAAAGTCTAAAGTTAATCTGGCAAAAACACCTCATAGGCAAACACATGATCAACTTTTCTGTAAAGTCTACAAGCTAATTTTGTGACCTTTGTGTCACAAAATTGTGACCTTTATGTGTGAGGCATTGACTCTATTATATCTATATCAATCTATCATCTATCTATTCTATCTATGTCTTTATTATTATGTTGCATTGATGTTTTAGATTTTTAGTTTTTAGACAACTGGATTTAAGTTTGAATCACTTTTAAAACTTCCCAGGACATCGTGTCCATAAATGTTCAATACAAACTCCATGATGATTATCACATTGAGAATTCATTACTGAATCATAAACTGAAGGTTTTCTCTACTTTGACAGGAATTGGCTGCCTGTGAAAATATGTTAGATGCAGTGAAGTTAACAGCAATGGGTAAGATGTTTTGTGGTATTTTTAGAGCAAGAAAAGTAAACATGAATGAATGCACACAGGACTATGGAAGTTGCTGTCATTGGTACATAAAATGATGCCATTAGTAAACTATCCATGCACATGACATAAATTTAATAGTTTTACCAATGCACCATTTTTAGCATAAGACTGATATTTAACAGCACTAACACCTGTACAGGTGCAATAGACTTCAACTGGTTTTCAAAACACAGAACAAGAAGAAATATTGGTCAAAAAAAGAATATAATTTAAAACTCAGTATGTTGGAAGGAGCTTGATGCAATGAAATGGACAAAAGCAAAATGATTTAAAATATTTTCAAAGGATTTAACACATTTGATAGCACGCAATACTAATGGGATAAGTTAGTGATTTATTATGAATTATAACTTTAAGATAATAAACAGGAAGATTAAAAGATGATTAAAGTATATAAATTACAAATGGAAAAGACTAAAGTGTTATTTACTAAACCATAAAAGAGCATAATGAAGGATAACTCCCTGAAGATAAATACTTGAGAATACATGTAATAAATTGAGAACATTATACCAAGGAGATAATAGGTTTCACCGTAATACTGTGTGACAGATTCAAAAGGATATTTGAATTCAGAAGGATGTTAGAATGGCTTGTGGGAGCTTTTGTGCCATGCCTTAACTAACCAACCTTAGGAGATTTGGTGAAAAATAGAACCCTGAGCTGCATAGATCATGGATGTCATCTCATGTGAAAATTCTTCTGTTTTTACACTTGCTAATTGCCGCAGTCTGGCTGGGCACAATCAGGAGCCACTTGTCAAAAGAAACTAACTTTATTTTTAGAACCAAACACGCCAAACAAACAGCATCTCAGGAAAAACCCCTCAGAGCCTCAACTGCCACCACCGGCTTTCCACACGCCTGTCTCTCCCCCCACAAGCTTCTCTCCACCTCCCACAATCCTCCTGCTCTTGAGGCCGATTGGCTGGGTCACATGGGCAGAGCCAAAAAGTCCCCCAATGAGCAGCTCCGTGGTCTGAAAGGGCAGGGAAACAGTCCAATGAGCATCACCGCAGAGGAGCCAATCAGCTAGATGTTGCTGGGGCCGAGGAGCCAATCAGCTAGATGTTGCTGGGGCCGCTGTGAGCCAATCATCAGCCGGCAGCTGGATTGCTGGCAGCTGGAAGTTTGCTGGGGCCCCTTCGGCTGTGGCTCTCAACAGCTAATAAACATCATTAGAATGTTAACTAAATAGTAATTTTGTTGGTTTAAAGGAAACACTAAGAAACACAAAGTTGAAAGTAATGGACACTTATGAAAGCAGTGGTCAAACTAAAACAGTATTACTATGTTTAGGTATAACACTATTTCATTGTGGTTTGGGAAAATACTACTTGGTCAGGGTAATGTATAACAGTTCATCAATTTTGTGGGGGAGTACTAGGAATTGAATCTAGGGGTGCTTAACAAGTAACCCATATCCCCAACCCTCCCCCCCTTTTTGAGACAGTGTCTCATTAGTTGTTTGGGGCTTCATTAAATCGCTGAAGCTGGCTTTGAATTTTCTATTCTTCTGTCTCAGCCTTCCTAGCCACTGGGATCACAGGTATGTGCCACCACAACTAGTTATAAAAGTTAATCTTAAACAAAAGAGCAATAATAAAATACTTCATATACTACATCTTCCAGTCTTAGGATTCAGTATTCCTTTGAATGGCAGTTATTTTATAATATCCTCAGTCCTTTTTTTTTTAATCTTAGTCCTTGTGTATTTTTGTAGTTGCTGGTAAAATACTTGATATTTTCTCTATTTTTACCTCTACTATAAAATTTTGTAAAATGTAGTTAAATATATGCAAATTATCTTTTTACCATTCCTAGGTGTACAATTCCTGATATTAAATAATTCATAATGTTGCACAACCATTATGGCTATTCATCTCCAGCATTTGTCAAACTGAAAATCTTTAACCATGAAAACTTTCTATTGCTGTTATCCTTCCCCTCTAACCTCTTGTAGCTTCTAATCTATTTTTGTCTCTATTAGTTTGCCTCATCTAGGTGCTCCCATACAACTGGAAGCATATAACATTTGTCTTTATATGTCAGGATTATTTCACTTAGCATAATGTTTTCAATTTTCATCAAGTTGTAGTCTGTATAAGAATTTCATTCCATTTTAAGACTGAATAACATTCCATTGTCTGTATAAACCACATTTTGTTATCATTTGGGTTGTTTCCACCTTTTGACTATTGTGAATAATGTTGCCATGAAACATTAATGCACAATGTTTCAATCAATTGACCAGATATGTGTTTATTTTGGGGCTTCATAGTCTGTTCTCTTTGTCTCTCTGTCCTTTTGCAAGTACTATCTGGGCTCCTGCTGCCAATTTATTTGGGAATATACATAGCTAGAAGTAGCATTTCTGGATCATGTGGTAATTCTTTTTTTTTTTTTTTTTGAGGGACCTTCAAAATGTTTTCCACAGTAGCTGCACCATTTTATATTCCCATCAGCAACACTCAGGGTTTCAAATTCTCCACATACTCACCAACAATTTATTTTTTTCTGGTTTTTGTTTTGTTTTGGGATAATGATCATTCTAATGGGTACAAAGTGATATCTCATTGTGCTTTTGGTTTGTGTGTGCTCTTTTATGAGAGCAAGCATCTTGGCATGTGCTCATTGTTCCTTTGATATCTTCTTTGAGAAATGTCTATTCATGTCTTTTACCCATTTTTGAATTGTGTTGCATGAATTCTTAATATTCCTCTTTATAATATTTCCAAATATTTTCTTCCATTTTGTGATTTTTACCTCCTTTGATATTATCCTATCATACACAATTTTTTAATTTTATGATGGCCAAATTGTCTATTTTTTTGTTGTTGCCTTGTGCTTTTGGTATCATAGCTAAGAAATCATTGCTAGATTCAATGTCTTGATGATCTTCCTTGATTTAGTAAACTGTAGTTTAAAATATATGCAAATTTTTCCAAAATTTTTATAGTTTTAGCACTTACATTGAGGTTTTGATACATTTCAAATGAAATTTTGTACATGGCATGAAGTAACTGTTCAACTTTGCTATTTTGCATGTAAATATGCAGCTTCCCCAGCACCATTTGTTGAAGACAGTCCTTCCCTTAATGAATGATCTTGGCATCTTCTCAGAAATCAATTGACCAGTGCTGGCAGTGTGGTTCAGTGGTAGAGTGCTTGCCTAGCACGTGTGAGGCACGGGGTTCAATCCTCAGCACCACATAAGAATAAATAAACAAACAAATAAACAAATGGGATTGTGTGTGCCTACAACTAAAAAAAAATAAAAAGAAATCAATTGACCAGATTATGTGTTTATTTGGGGGCTGTATAATCTGTTACATTTGCCTATCTGTCCTTTTGTAAGTACTATAACTTTTTAGAAATTTTCAAAGTCAGGAATGGTGAATCTTCCAATGTGCTTTAGTTTTAAAAGTTGTTTTGGCTATTTGGGGCCCTCTATGCAAAAGAATTTTGCAATTTTGAGAGACTGTGTTGAATACATAAATCACTTTAACTAATATTGACCTAACAATGTTAAGTACTCTATCTATAAATATGAGCTTCCTTCAATTAGGTCTTCTTTAATTTCTTTCACTAAAAATTATAGTTTTCAGTGTAGTCTCCACCTTATCCACAGTCAATATGTTTCAAGACCCTCAATATGATGCCGGAAACAATAGATAATACAAAATCCTAGATATACTGTATTTCCCTTTTACACATGTATGATGAAGTTTAGTTTATAAATTAGGCATAGTAAAAGATTAACAATAATAAGGTAGAATAATCATTACAATGTGACAATACATTCTCAGCATCATTTCTGTTGTGTTTTGTAGCCATTATTTAGTAAAACAAAGGGTTATGTGAACATAAGCACTGCATTACCAAAGAAACTGATCTTACTACCAAGACATCTGCTAAGTGACCAGTGGACAGGTAACATATACAGCAAGGGTATACCTCCAATTTAATGTGGAAATTTCCTCTTTTTCATTCCTTATTTTAATATTTGTAACCTCATTTTCTTCTTTTTAAATCTAGTTGTCAATTTTATTGATATTTTCCAGTGACCAATTTTTTATTTCATCAATTTCCTCCATTGTTTCTGTTTTATTTATTTCTGCTAATTTTTATTACCTTTATTCTGCAAGCTTTGGTGTTTGCTCCTCTTTATCTAGTTCCTTGAGGCATAATATTAGATTATTGAGATCTTATTTGTTTTTATAATGTCATATAAAGATGTTTCCCTGTGAGCACTGCTTTCACTGCATTCTAATTTGTTCTGTTTTCATTTTCATTTATTTCTCTTTGTCCTCTTATTTCCTTTGTGATTTGATTGTTTACAAGAGTGGTTTAATTTTCACATATTTGGAAATTTCTATTTTTTCTAGATTCAGTACACTGTAATTGGAAAAGATACTGTGTATGATTTCAATTTTTTTAAAAAAAATGTATCAACACTTGGTTTATATTCTAATATATGGCATACCCTGGAGAAGTTCCATCTACACTTGAAAAAAATGATGATGCTGTTTATAGGTAGAGCATTCTTTATGTCTGCTAATTTCAATAGGTTTATGGTGTTTTTCATGTCATCTATTGCCTTATTCAACTTATTTTATACATTATTGAAAATGGGGTATTGAAGCCCCCAACTTTTATATTACTGTATATATCCTCCTTCAGTTCTGTCAGTGTTTTCTTCATATATTTTGAAGCTGTAGTATTTGCTGCATGTTTATAATTGCTATGTATACTTGGTGAATTGACCCCTTTATTCTTGCCTCTTACAGATATTTTTTGTTTTGGTTTTGGTGCTGGGGACTGAACCTGGGGTGCTCAACCACTGGCTACATCCCCAGCCCTTTTCATTTTCTTTTAAATATTTTGAGTCAGGGTCTTTTAAGTTGCTGGGGCTGGCTATGAACTTGGGATTTTCCTGCCTCATCCCTCTAACTTGCTGGGATTACAGGTGTGTGCCACCATGCCTGGCCTCTGAAAATAATTTTGGACTTAAACTCTATTTTGCCTGATGTTAATATAGCCACCTCAGCTCTTTTGGTTATTTACACAAAATTATCTTTTTCCATTATTCCATTTTCAACCTATTTTTTTGCTTTAATATGTAATTTCTGGTGAGTTTATTTTAAAACCTGGAAAACCTAGAAAGGAAAATACGTTTACAATTCTATCTGTACACATTTGACAAAGACAGAATGGGAAAGTACTTGGGAATAAAATGTCTACATAATATATCAAAGTTAACATAACTTATTATGGCTTTATTCATTTCATGTGCCCACTAACATAACCTATCTCATTCTATTCGTGGTTTGAGACTTGCATTTTCAACCTATTTTTATCTTTGAATCTAATATGTGTTACTTGTAGATAACTAACATATAGTTGGATCATGTCTTTTAAAAATTTTATTCATTTTGCTAATCTTTGTGTTTTGATTGGAGTATTTTATCCTTTTACATTTTAAGTAATTACTGAGGGCATGGAGTATAACTCAGTGGTATGGTGCTTGCTTAGCATGAGTGAGGCCCAGGCTTGATCCCTAACACTGCAAAAATTAAGAAAAGACAACTGATAAAATTGTCTTCTGTCAATTTTTTACATGCCATAAGTTATATAGCTATTTCTTATTTCTCATTTCCCTTTGTATTTAATTGATATTTTTAGTGAAGCACTTTGATTCGTAGGATTTGCTTGTTTCTTGATTGCTGTAGGCTGTCCCTGTCAGGGATCAGCCTGAGTTGAAAATTTATTATGATCTTAGGTTTTGTTCAAGCACATCTTTCCTTAGTCACTCATGATGGCTTTCTAAATTCCCCTTTGTGTTTTGTTTTCAATGTCCAACAAAACAGGTATTACTCTTTTAAATTTCCTGTAAACCACTTCAGATCATGGGGGATAGAACAATGGCAACCAACCTTAAGTCCTCACCTAAGTGGTCAGAGTGGCAGCCCAGAGTTAGAACACAAAACATCAGGGCTGGGGTTGTAGCTTAGTGGTGAGGCACTTTCCTGGCATGTGTGAGGCAATGCGTTCGATTCTCACACTTATAAATAAAATATAATAAATGTCCATCAACAACTAAAAATTAAAAAAAAAATAGAATGAAATGCTTCTTTTTTTTAACAAAACAACATAAAACATCTACATTTTTTAAATGAAAACACTGGCCACCCACCCTACAGCAATCTGCTCCATAAATACAGGTTGCCCGCCCCACAGCTGCCTGCCATGGGATGGGACAGGAGTAGTGAAGGCCAGGCAGCTGCCACCACACTGAAGGCTGAATTCCCCCTAAATTAACTGCAGTTTACCATTCAGGCTGTCTCTTAGCAGCTGAAAGTGTTCAAATAATCTCCAGAGCTCCAAAATATTCACATCATAATTTCCATCCCGATGAAAAGTCAAATTCCTGGAGCTTTTTACTCCCCCCTCAGCTATAACCTTTCTTTGTATGTAAATTGATATTTCAGATTTACTGAGAGATGGCTTTGGGGAGAATCCCCTTTTCTACTGTCTGATTGCTGAAGTAAAAAATCATCAAAAACCATCAGGTAAAGTAAATCTTCCTTTTCTAATTTTACCTGAAGCATATTTCTATGTTCTGAAAACAAAGTACAATTACATAGCACATACTACTACACCATTAATAAGTACATATGTATAAACCTATTTTATGTTTTAAAAAAGAAAACATATGCTATGTACATGTTTGCATAGCTATTTAAAATTTTGGAAGAACATGCAAACTATATAAAAGAGTGCTTATCTCTTAAAGATTGTTATTGTAGGTGAATTAAACTTTCTGTATTATACATTTATATACTGTTTGATATTTTATCCCATGAGCATCTATTACTTTAATTGTTAAAACAAACACCAAAATATTCTATTTTGGGGAAAAGATATTTCCTTTTTATTGATTTTTTTTAAAAAAATAAATGACAGCAGAATGCATTACAATTCTAATTACATGCATGCAGCACAATTTTTCATATCTTTGGTTGTATATAAAGTATATTCACACCAATTCATGTCTTTATACATGTACTTTGGATAATGATGTCCATCACATTCCACCATCCTTGCTAATCCCCTGTTCCCTCCCTTACCCTCCCTCCCCTCTGCCCTATCTAGAGTTCATCTATTCTTCCCATGCTCCCCACCTACCCCACTATGAGTCTAAAATTCAAAGCATTAACCTGTTAGTGACCCCTCTTCTCTCTTCTTAGGAAAAATGGCCGTTGGATTTGCCATGTACTACTTCACGTACGACCCCTGGATTGGCAAGTTACTTTACCTAGAGGATTTTTATGTCATCCAAGAATACCGAGGTAAAATTAGGATTATGTTACTTAAAAATAATTTAGAAACTAAAAAGGCATATATTAATTTGTGGAACAGAGACAGGATTTAGTATAAATATGCTGGCTTTGCTATGCAACTCATTTCTATTTCACGAGCCTGATCACTATGCTAGCGCAGTTAAGATTCAATCACAAATTAGAAAACCATTTTATTAGTGTGTATTAATGTTTTAATAAGCCATGCTATCATAGCTATGCTTTTATTTTTAAAAATGCTTTAAATTTTAGGTTGGTTTTTAGTATTCATAGATTAGAAAAATGGCATGTTATAAAACAATAGTGGCAGAGTCCTATTATAAGACAATAGTGACAGAGACTTGTTTCCTTCTTCATTGATCTTTAAAATAAACCCAAACTATTTTCTATTGTCTTTGGTACTACATTCCATTTAGGAAGAAAGGACATATGTGTTTATGAGTTGAGTTTTAACATACACTCTTAAGAATATATAACAACCTGATACAGGGTTTTATATTTTATTCTTTTTAAACTAAAGCAAATAACAAGGTAAGTGGAATTTTTCATCTTATGGTTTTCTTTGGCATTATCTATTTAACAGGCCTAGGTATTGGAGCTCAAATGCTAAAGAGGCTAAGTCAGGTATGTATTATAATTTGTACTGATGTTCTATACATTTTCCTTTTCTTCTTCAAATATTACTCAACAGGGCATAAATTAGGAAATTTAATTTCACTACTTAAACATAAACCTAATGTGCTTCACATTTTTATCTAAATTAAACTGGATTTTCAAATCAAATACTCATAAGTTACATGAGTTATATTTAATTAAAATTGATTTCTGTGTAATCCACAAACATACTATATACCTTTTTTTGTAATCAAGATGGAGATTAGATGGCAACTTTATTCACAAAATAGGTCTGCAATGTGAATGACAACAATATAAAACAAATAACCTTTTTCATTTTAGAAATATATATATGAGAACATGTGTGCTGTTAGGTAACTTTATCTGTAGAATAAAGACTTTGCAATCAAATTTGGGCTTTTAAAGACAGGGATCTTAATACTTAGAAAAGTGGAACTTCTTTTTCTTTTTATAGCTATAGAGAAATCCAAAAGATAATGACTGTATTCTTATTTCCAAATATTATGCACATATAATGTCTTTCATATAGAACTTCAATGAAACAATTGTGTTAATTAAGACTATATTTTAAATAAAAGTAATCTTTGTTTATTGTTTTTAAACAGATAGCCATCATGAGTCAATGTAACTGCATGCACTTTCTTGTTGTCATTTGGAACCAAGCTTCTATTGAGTACTACACAAGTCGAGGGGCATTAGACCTTTCCTCTGAGGAGGGGTGGCATTTGTTCAGGTTTAACAGAGAAGAACTCATGGACATGGCAGAGGAAGAATGAAAGAGGCCTCATAACAACTCATTCCAACATAGGCTCCAACATCTGAATGTCACCTGAGTCGAACAGCAGTTTGACACTGAATGTTGTAAAATACAACAAATGATAATATTCTTGTTTGAGCAGATCTTTTACTTTGAAATAGATTTTGCAGATATAATTATCTCTCCCTTATCCAAACTAATATACTAATGGATACAAGCAGTGCTGATAATCCAAATGAAAAGTAATTTCACAAGCATTTATACTTGGCTTTGGCCTGTTTATCAATTACCTACTATAGTTCGCCAAATTTATAATGCTAATTCTTTCACATTTTAACATATTTGAAATTGGGATAGCATTATGATCAACTGGCAAGTTTTTTTTTTCTTTTTAAAGGTCTATGATGTGTTTTATATTTGATGAAATATAGGTACTTTTGAATAGAAACAGATCTCAGATTAAAATAGTCATTTCACATACTGGTCCTAAATCCTGAAGCACTTACTTATGAAAAATTAGCAAATGAATTGAATCTTTAATTTGAGAAGCTTTAAGCTTTTAGCACCACTACCTCCTTCATATTATCACAGAACTACATTCCATCTCTGAGCATCTATAGCTCTTTGGTTGTACATATTAGGGCAGATATCTTATATAACATGGTTATTTGTATGTTTCTTTCTTTCCTGGTAGAGTATAAGCTCTTTACTAAATTATAATTATTGTTATCCTGTAACCAGAAACAAACAGCATGGCAGCACATGAGAGTTCTATGTATTAGGCATTTCATGGGCACAGAAGAATAATTCAGCCACACACACAAGAATCCTTGTCCATGAGAAAATACTAATTATAATAAATGTGGTGAGCTATTTTATTTATAAATACCAAGTACAAGGGAATGCAGAAAAAGAACATTGAAATCCTACCTTGGAGAATTAAGAAAGAGGACACTGGAATTGGATTTGGAGGATGGGTACAGAGTTAGAATGTGGAGCAAGATGAAACAGAACAGAATTCTAATAGGAAACATTCACAAAGGCAGAAAATACAGAGGAATAAGTTACAAGTCATGTTCATTAAGCAAGTGGTTGTCATGAATACAATAGAACATATATTAGTATTATGGTAAATAGTGAGAAGGAAGATAGGATGGTTACTAATGAGCTATTGTGCCAATTCTATAATTGCCTAATTCCAGGCTTTAAATAGATATTTGTTTAAGCTACTGCTAGCTTGTTAACTTGCAAGCAGAACAGATTAATAGTGAGCATATAAACCAGGAACCTACTCTGATAACCCAAGAAAGCAATGATGAAGATCTAAATAGCAGCAATAATAGGATTAGAAAATACAAAGGTAGAACAAATTTGATAAATAAGAAATAAGCAAAAGGAGACAGACACAATTTGCTTTTAGGTATACTGACACTGGGATATCTATGGGATGTTAGGTGAATATAACTAAAACTTATTAGAAATATGGGTCTACAAACTAATAAATAATTAGAAATTATAGGTCTACAACACTGGAGAAATATGAGGGCTAAACATATGAATGAAGCCAGGGAAATTGGTTGAATGAAAATGAGAGGGCATATAGAATGAGAAAAGCTCAGAAGGGATGCAGATTGAGAAGCCTTAACATTTAAGGAATTCAGAGCAAGAAAAGAATAATACAGAGCAAAAGGAGAAGTGGTAATAACAAGAAGCGAAGGGAGGAGTGAGTTTCAAGGATTGAGTGGTAAAGTCTAGTTGTATAAAAATTCATTTTGGTACAGAGTCCAGGATCTTTTAAGTTATAGAAAAAAATTGAAAGTAGGGAATTTAGAAAGGGACATTAATTACTCATTAAAGAAGTATGGAAATCACAGAAAGGAGCTCAACAGAAGAAAGCTTGAGAGAAAAGATAGAGTTAAGAAAAGGTGTTTGGCCTTGGTAATTGTTGCTTTTGGATAAAGAAGAGCTAAAGATTTTTAGAGGTTGAGGAAAAGAAATAAGAGGAAAGAAAAACCAAAGACTGACAATTCAACAGAATGGCATGTCATTCTAGTTAAAGACAGGAAGGAATGAGATTAGGGATACCAATAATAGCATCAGTTTTAGGAAAGGGGGATTCGTGGCTGAAAAGGATTAAGTCTACAAGGTAGATATGAAGTAGTTGGGAATGGTTATGTCTAATATATTTTATGCTCTATGAAACAGGAAAAGCAGTCAACTTTAATAGGTATAAGAGGCTTGAGAAGAATAAAATGTTTTTAATACTTCTCAAGAACAGAGAAGTAAACTGCATAGGGGCCAGTGGAAGAACTGCTAAGTAGCATTAGGGGGCCCATGAAGGACATGGTCCTTTTAAACAGAGATGTTTTCAGATATTTAAAGGGATTTAGCCTTAATAAAACAAAAAGAAAAAGCCAAACAAATGTGCCATAAAATATGGATATTTTATTCCATGTCTCAGAAATGAAAAAGAGAGGAAGAGCACATCCTTCTACACACCATTCTAATTTAACTGACATTATATATGCACATATTTTCAGATTTTAGTCTCATTGGTAATCATACCTTCACTGTGGTTTGCTTTCTAATAAAAGCCCTTACAAGTCATCAAATGCATCCTCATACTTCTGGGTTGTTTCATTCAGTCATTTAATATTGTTTTAATTTCATTCAGATTTTGAGTTTTAATCATTTATATGATTGGTCAAACTGTACATTTTAAGATGTCAAGGAAAAACTGAATTAAAGTTATACTCTACACATCGGTTACCCATTATATGATTTTTTTCATCATTATTTGCAACTTCACACATCTTGTAGTTCTCTATGCAGTCTCTTTATGTAGTCTATTTCAGCTTCTAGTGCTGTACATATCTACATCTTCCGGATGAGACTGCCCATGATCCATAAGTCTGGGGTCAGGTATAAATTGTGTAGCACCTGAGGAATATTAAAATGAAAAAAAAAATAGTCATTTAGAAAATTAATTTTGGGGACTGTGAATATAGTAATGAACAATACAGATAAAAATCTCTACTGACATGGATATAACATTCAAGTTGAGTGAGACAGACAATTACTTATATAAAGCATATATCATGGTGGTGAGTGCTATGCAGAAAAATAAAGCAGGGAGAAACATGGAATATCTGGGTGATTTGACATTTTATAGGTTGGCTAGTGAAAGTCTTCTGAAAAGATACATGAGCCAAAAACTCAGGATGTGTGCCTTGACTATATCAGCAAAAATATTTTCCAGGATGAGCTGACAGCAAACATAATGGACCCAAAACATGTCTGAAGAACCAAGACAGGTAGACTAGTAGAAAAGATGTATGTGTGTGGGTAGGGGACCCTGATTGAAAGGAGACATGATCAGGCTGGGTCACAAAGAGCCATGGTAAGGTTTTTACCTTTCATTTTAAATGAGATGAAAAACTAGAGGACAATTTTAAGTAAAGGAGTGACACAGTCTTATGTTTTTAACAAGATCACTTTCAGCTTTCAGAGACCATGGGGAAAAAGGGTACAGGGAAGGAGATCAGTCAGGAAGCAAATGCAGTGCTCCAGGAAAAATGCTGAGGTCTTTAAATAGGGTGATAGCAATGGAGGTGGTGAAAGGAATTAGATTCTAGAGATAGAATGGACAGAGTTTCCCAAATGGATTGAATATATTATGTGAGAGAGGCTTATTTATCTTGAGAAACTGGAAGAATGGAGTTGACATTGACTGAAATAGGAAAAAAAGTGTGAGAGAAGCAGGTTTGAAGGAAAAGTAATGAAATGTATTCTTAGATGTGTTAAACTTGATTTCTCTTACTAAACATCTGAGTAAAAATGTTGTATAGGCAGATAGACCTATGAATCTATTGAGTTCAAAGGAGGCCTTGACTGGCTTATAAATTTTATAGTCATATCCTATATATAGCATTTAAAACTATGGGACTGCATGAGATCATCCATAATCAGAGAAGTTCAAGGCAGGATCCCTTTGGATACTCCAGCTTTTTAAGGTTAAGAAAATTAGGAGAATGTCACAGAGAAGACTGAAAGAAAAGATAGTCAGTGAGGTAAGAGAACCAATAGTAAATGATATCCCACAGGTCAAATGAAGAGACTATTTTAAGGTCGAGGGAGTATAACCTGAATAAATATTATTGATATATTGCATTAGTTGGAGCCAGAACTCCTGGATTTGACAATATGTGGATCAACAGTGATTATAACAAGCTTATCATGTACTATGCAAAATGCTAAGTTATTTTCATGTACTGTCTCATAAAATCATCATGAGGTGGATGCTATTTTTATACATCCACATATAATGACATATTGATAAATGGTGAACCACATTACAATGGTGGTTCCCTAATATTATAGTGTAGGTAAAAATTTTCTTTTACTTAGTGACATCAAAGTACAACATATTATACACATTTGTGGTGATGCTGATGTAAACAAACCTACTTCCTGGTGGCCAAATAGAATTATAACTATATAAGATCATATGTAATAAATACTTGATAATAATGCTATTTAGTTAATATGCTATACTTTTAATCATTATTTTAAAACAAGCTCATAAAAGTGTTTACTGTAAAACAGTATGACATGTTATGGCAGTAGTAGTCTCATTTGTCTTGTACTTACCATATCCCTTGATTGTATCAAGAGGACATGTCAAGTATTGACCTATACCACCTAGGTTTATATAAGTACACTCTATGATTTTTCACAAAATGGTAAAATCATCTAATGTCACATATCTCAGAGTAGATCCCTACAGTTAAACAATACATAACTGTATTATTCTTTTACATATAAGGAAAGTTTAATTTAGAGAGGTTAAGTAACTTGAATAATGTCACTCAACTGAAAATGTAATACAACCAGGACTGAGTCCAAGTTTGTTTAACCCAAACACAACAACCTTGTATATTTTGTAAAATGGTATTAGAGTAATAACAATCTCATATAATTATTTTTAGTATTAAGTAGGACAATGGGTACAGAGCATTG